GTTGCCGACTCGGCATAATACAACGACGCACTATCCGAAATAGAAAAGGCGGTTCGGTCCACCGTAACATTCAAAAGAAGTTCAGCACACAAGTCACAACACAATTGTTCTTCCAATGCGTCTACCATCGCCAGCCCCTGTTCGTCCGATGTGGGTTGCACATTGGTCACCACGGTGCTCGCTTCCGCAAGAAACCGCCCACAATATGCGCAAATATTTATCGCATCCATACCTTTCTCATCCGCACAGGGTGGCTCTGGATCCCGCTCGGAAACCATGGAACTTTCCGAACCATTCAACGAAGGCTCTACCAAAATACTCAACCGACCACTGGCCCGCACTTGGTGTCGCAACAGCGTAACTTCATGGGTCAAGTTATCAATCCAAGTTTCCAACGCCGCCGCACTAGGCGGTTCAGGATGAACCAGACTATCGTAAAACCCTGGTGAGGAATCAAGACCCCACGAAGGACTTGAAGATTGGGGTTTCGCGCCCGAGTCGAAATAACCTGATACCGCATTCAAACCCTCCTTGGGCGAGGCCAGATTTAAGGCCGATAGTCGTGATATCAGTTGGGACTTGGCCTGATTAGACGGAGGTACAGGCGGAGGTGCTTTAGGTGGTTCCGAAGCCATAACGGTAGAATCAATAAAATAGGCGACAACCTGAAAATAAAGAATAAATACACAACAGAGATGGAAATGCTAGAAAGAGAAGCGATAATAGTAAAGTGGTAAAGGCCAACGAAAAACCTCCCAACAACTTCAACCCACAAAGTATTACTCGCAAGTACTACGAAATACCCAAAAAGCACAAGACAACTTTTTCAATAACACATTCTGACGTCATTTTATCTCTTCAAAAAACCTCATTAAATACTTCATTTTGACAAAATTGAAATATCTTGCTCCAGTAGCCCAGTGGTTTAAGGCGTCGTGCTTATAGGGAATTTAACCTATACCAAAGCAACGCGAAGGTCGCGAGTTCGATCCTCGCCTGGAGCATTCTTTACCTTTTTCCTATTTTTGATTTTCGGAGTTTTTTTTTTTTAAAAAAAACAAAAATTTTGTTGCAGCGCTATTCAGAATGAAAGTTTTCACCATGCTTTGTCCAGAATGAGCGTTGAATTTATGAAAAATAATTTAATTTTAGCTGAGCACACTTGGCCGTTTTAATTTTAAAAATCCGTCACCCGAGCTTATGCACCATGGTGCCTAGAAATCTTCGCAAAATGTACCTTAAAAACATGATCAGTTTTATTTCCTTCATCGGTTTCAATGCCTAGCCAACGCAATTCTTAATAGCATTGTAACGTATGATGGAACTTCGGCCTATCTTAAGAGCCCTCAAACTGACACTGGTCGAAAAGTATGGGTTCCAAAACATCATGGTAAATGCAGGTGTGGCATTGCTTAGCCACGGTGGATTTCAAAGGCACAAAAAGTTATGTTGACTGTGTTCTTCAGTAGTACTGGTTTTGCTAATATCATGTATAATACTAACAGCACTACAATCACCAGCTCCTATTACATCGATAATTATGCCAAAGCAGTGATTGAGGAGTGGCGGAAAGTCGTCCAGGATCTAACACTTCTAGTATCGTCCTCCACCAGGATAATGCAAGGCCTCATGTTTCAAAATATACCAAGGCCCATATTGACAAGTTTGGACACAAACTGCTTGAAGCATCATGTTACTCTCCTGACCTAGCATCTTGTGACTTTTGGTGGTTCCCATGTATGAAGAATAAGCTAGAGGGTAAAATATTTGAAAATGTTGACC